ATAAATCAAAATTACCATTTTTTTCTTTCTGGAATGACTTCAAATTGTAATATGAAACTACATTTGTTTGTCATAAATAGCTATAAACTCATAACAGTATATATCTATTTATACTTAAATTTTATTCCCTTTGAACTCTATCTAATTACTATTTATGCCATAATAAGTTGTAAATCACTTAGAGAACATACAACTCACATTATGCTATCAAATTACATTAAACATGTGCTACTCACGAGTGTACCTTGTGAAAACATTTTATTATATTATTATCATTATTTATTTCACCTAATCTGACTAACATAACTAATTTAACTAATATAAAAGGTTTCCTATTTTTACATTTTAGTTACTTTTATAATAATAAATAAAGAATACACAGGAAAAACAAGAAATAAAGTATTTACTTGGATCTTCTCTGTTTGCTGTCGAATATCAATAATACGTAACCATACTTTTTTTATGCTAATGGTATTACTGCACTAAATAACTTTTTATCTAATGCCCCATAATTATCACAATTTTTCTAGCTTTCTAACTATGAAACAAGAGCCTTTAAAACTTCATCTAAGGCCGTTAATATGTATATGAGAATCAAGCTTGAACTGAAAGCAAATTAACAATTCTCTTTACAGAAAACAATGTACTATAATACATCCTTTGATAGATAAAAACCTTTGCTTTCTATTGGTTATAAATAATGTCCTGACATCTTGGGTATAATAAACAGAAGGGAATAAAACCCAAGTAGAACTGGAAAGACTCTCTCCACTGCTCCCAAAAAGGTGTAGGAATGATAAATATCTCAGCACCATAGTTAGTGTCAAATCAATCCTATAAAACTGTGATCTATTCAGGTTGACCACAGACTCTATTATGGAAGCCCACATTTCCAGAGCGGGTCTATTCTCTGAGAGTCTAAATGCTTCCACCTGGTGGTGGTAGGTGAAAGCATGTTGTTGTGACAAACGTGGTGGACAAGGGATAGCTGTCCCTTCACATAATTGAGCAGTAAACCTCCCTGCAGGAATTGCAATATCAGGGGATGGAGGGAGAACTAAGTACTCGCTCTCTGACCTTCCCACCATCAAGGAAGGTGCATACTCAAGAGCAACTGGTGAAAGACCCAAAACATCACACACCCAAAATACCAACAAAGCCAGAGGCAGCTAATCCAAAATGGCCTCATGAGAAGCTGACAGAGTAAAGGAAGGCACTGGAAAAGGTGAATCTAAATTCTCTCTCCAGACTGTCCAGGATTGCCCGCAAGTTCAGCCTCAGAGCCCCCTGGAGAAACACCACTGTACTGAATGTATATCTTTATCTCCCTATGAATAAGGTCATGGACAGCCTCAACCAAGAGCAACTCGTCTTCCCAATTTATGAGCAATGCTAGATATTAGAAGTGGGATAGGAGAGATCAGATTTGCCTCCATGATGGATAAGTTAATCCAGGAATGCGTGTCATAAATCAGCTTACCAAAGAAACTTTTTTTAAGTGTGTGTGTGTGTGTGTGTTACAAAAATCAAATAGATACCACAAAGAACACTCAAAGTATCTCCAATGGTTATACTACAGAGAAATCCATTAGTGAACGTTTTGAAAAGTGACAATATTATCTGAACGAGGTGCTAATATACAGTACCAAGATAGAGGGTGCACTAACATAGGTGGAGAGTGTCATGAGACAGATATCACCAAGGGCAATTAAGTGGGGAATAAAAGACTGGAGCAAGTGAAAAAAAATCAGACCAATGCTTAGATGTATAATCCTAGCACTACCACACTCCCATTTTTAACGACTACAAGTCATACCATTGTGTTTATCTCAGTTTCATGAAAAACAATTTCTAGAAAATATGATTTGTAAAATGGGACATATGCTGACTTGGCAACACTGATCAGTAACAGGTTTTGAACTATGTATCTCAATCTGCAAGAGAACATGTGTCATGTGACTATTACTGGAATGATATTGGGAGCACAAAATAACCCCTGTAGATTCATTTGTCATAAACCTAAGGTTGTAAAATTGTCAATAAGATAAAGAACATGGACATTTAAACATTTTTCTAACACCATCTTGAGCATAAACACTTCAAAGTAATTAACAACATTACTAGCCTAATATATGCAGCAGTTATAATATAATAGGATGAATATAATAAAGTAACACACATTTATCAAATAGCTAAGTATATGACATTAAAAAGTCTGTCTGCTTATACCTGATCAGGTTACATGGTATCTATACAGAGATCAATCTAGACTAGAATATTTTGAGACGTTTTCGTCCCAATTACTATGTATTTCATTGGTTATTTTCTGCTTTTAAAAGACAATTAGGTCTGTAAATACAATGATTCATGTTAACATTATTTTGTCTAGTTGTATTATCAGTTTTTAATTTCAAATCTAAAATGAACAAAAGTCTTTAAAAACAGTGATGCTAACCAACAAAGTTTCCAGTTCTTTAAAATGATCTTTGTTAAATAAAACTGCATCAGCAAACTGACAAAATGGTTAATTATAATGGGAAACCATGAGATATACAATATTGCTAATGAAGCACAACAACATGAGTGGTCTCAGTAGCAATACCAGTGTGAATCTTTGGTTTGTTGGCATGGTGACCTGTAGTTATGTATGTAAAAAGAGGTACAAGTTGTCTTGTCTTATTGGCAAGTTGATATAATATGTTCAAATAAATATTATTTGGTTTTACTTACATGCTTGAGGACTTTTTAGGCCATGCCAAAGCATTGTATTTGGGAGAAAGAGATGGAAGGTTTTATCACTTATCCAACTGAAGTTAGGAAAAGACTAAGTACACTTAGGGAATTGTAAGTCATGAAAGATTTCTTTGTGCTTTCTTTTCAGCAATGTGTGGTCATTCAGAATTTAAGAGCTTGTTTCATAGTCTCTCTTTTTTTGCTTGAATTGGTTTTTTTGATAACTTAGATTTATAAAAAATAACAACACTTCAGCATAATAATATATAAAAGATTAATGAATTAACAAGACATAAAAAAATCCAACTAGTTTTTACAGACCAAGTTTATCATTCTGATTAAGCTATGGAATTAAAACCATAATGCTGGCACTCAGTTTTGTTAATAGTGACTTGTCTGTTCAAATTACAGTTACAGGTCTTGAATGAACTTGATGCTTATTTTGAATATGATTCCTTAAACTGTATTCATTTGTTATAATTATATTAAGAAACTTTATGGTTGCTCATAATTTGAAGGTCTATTTGCAAATGTCATTAAATTTAGACTGGTGACAACTGGCAAGCAGCACTTGCTGCAAACTTTTTTATTTCATGTACACACCAGCTCTACCCTTGACCCCCCCCCCCCACAATGTCCAATATCCAAACAAAGGCTTGTATACTGATCATCTACTTTAAAATATAATAACACTAACAGGAAAACATCCCAATGCAGTAGTATAAGAGCACTAGAAGCATCTTTATTATGTTGAATAAAGAATGACTGAACACCTTTACTGTTATGTATAAACATGAGAAGTGCATATATTCCTAAAACTTATAGAATTCTAGAAAATGAATGGATTAAAAATGGGTAATACAATACTTGAACATGCTAAAAAGTAACTTTCTCATTTCTATTTTTCATTCTTAAAAGTAGTTTTATAGAGGCATAAATCGGTACCATATGAAGACTGCCTTAGTGGTAGGATTTTATGGTGTAATTTTCAATGATAATGACAACTTACATGATGAAGATAGTCTTGCTCTGGCATTATTTTCTTCTCCCAAATAACAGGACTAGTTTCATCATCTATAACAAAAACTGATTGAATAAGAGTGCAATAATTTTTAATTTTAAGATATGAATGGATAACCATTCAAATACCTTATGAACACCATGGAATAAAACAATATTTTCGTAATTTAAGAAAAAAAAACTATTTTCTAACGTATTTCAGCCACAATTTCCATCTTGTACACTATATGTAGGTTTCCTGCAATTTTTGTATATAATATGTTAGAAACATAAACATACTTTCCCGGTAATTTTATGTTTCTCAAATGAAATATACACTGAGTGGTCACAAGTAAACAG